GCAGACGGGACCTCCATCCGAAGAATGACACCTCCAACAGCGCAACAGCCCTCCAGCACTGTACTCGAGTGTCAGCTTAGACAATGTAATTCCAAGTCCCGACTTGGGACTTTGAACCCACAACCTTCTGACTCAGAGGTGAGAGAGAGAGCGCTAGTATACTGCTACGAGCAGTATTTTTCACTATGTGTAGCACCCTGTATTATTCTATTATTGACTTATACTTGGAGTGTGTGCCTGATGCACGATAAATGGTAACAGAATTTGGCAGTTGAAACGGATGACTAGGATAAGACTAATTTGACATAGTCAAATCTAGGTATATCTCATCTCAGATCCGCCTTGCTGTCTTTAGTTTCAGTTGTGGTTTCTTTGCACTTCTCATTTCCAGTGCTGCTTTCATTGCACAATGAAACCCACCATCTGCTGCCTCGACCCCCTCCCCACCCCCAACTGCTGATCACCCAGCTCCCCCTCCTCTGCCCACTGCTGGCAGACACTATTAAACAGTCTCTCTCCTCAGATCAGTCCCATTCCCGCGCAAAACCGCAGTCATCACCCCCCTCCTTAAAAAACCTACCCTCGATCCCTCCAACCTCGGCTACTACCGCCCTATCTCAAACCTGCCCTTCCTTGCCAAAGCTCTGGAACGCGTTGTTGCCAACCAATTTTGCGCACTCCTCTCCCCCCACACCCTACTCGATCCCCTTTAGTCCGGTTTCTGCCCTGCACACAGTACAGAGACAGCGCTCGTTAAAGTTACAATCAATATCCTCTCTATCCGTGACCAGGGCTCCCCCTGCCTCCTCGTCCTCCTGAACCTCTCCGCCGCATTCGACATAGTCGATCACGCCATCCTCCTCCTCTGCCTGTCCTCCATCATCCACCTCGGTGGGATTGCACTCGCTTGGTTCGAGTCCTACCCTACAAACCGCCAGCACTACATTTCTGCAAATGGCTTTTTTTCAAGCTTCCAACTGGTCACCTGCGGGATCCATCCTTGGCCCCTTCTCTTCCTCATCTATATGCTCCCTCTCGGTGATGTCATCCGCAGACACGGGGTTAACTTCCACATGTATGCGGATGACACTCAACTCTGCTTTTCCACCTCCAGCTGCGACCCCCAATCCCCTGATGTGCTGTCAGCTTGTCTGTCGGACATCAAGAGCTCGATGAGCGCGAATATTCTGTAGTTAAACGTCAACAAGACGGAAGCCATATTCTTTGGCTCCTGTCAACATCTTCTGTCTCATGGTTCCGACCTCCTCAACCTACCCGACCTGTGCTTAAAACTCTCCAAACCCGTGTGCAACTTAGGCATCAGGTTTGATCCCCAGTTATCCTTCCACCCCCACATCCGGTCCCTGCCCAGCACCGCTTTCTTCCACCTCCACCATATTGCCCGTCTCTGATAATACCTCAACCCAAAAGCTGCTGAAACCCCTGTCCATGCGTCTGTCACTTCTCGGCTGGACTACTCTAACACCCTCCTCACCGGTCTCCCCTCCTCCACTATTCACAAAATTCATCTCATTCAAAACTCCGCCGCCTGCATTCTCCCCCACACTAAACTCCGTACCCCGATTACTCCAGTCCTTGCCAAACTCCAGCTCTCTGTCACAGAGCAGATCCACTTCAAGATCCTCACTCTAGTGTTTAAATCCCTCCATTCCTTCCTCTTCGATCGGGCCTATGGTCACCTTCCCCCTTCCCCTGGCTGGGCTTCGGGCTCCACCATTGTTAAGCGCTCTGAGATGTCACCCGGCGTGAAGGACGCTATATAAATGCAAGTTGTTATTGTTGTGCTGCTGCACTGTGGCAGACGTTTAAGACATTTCATTGTGTAATGACCGCTACCTTGTCAATGTGAGAGAGGATTTAAGAGCAAAATGCACCTTATATCCTCTCTCCCATGTTCATGTTACTGATTTTTTTGGGGGGATCAGCCGGGTGTCTGACACGTGGGTAAACCCATCGTCATGCTCACCGGTCTCCAAACTAGACAGAGAATTCCCAATGTTTCTGCCACCTACATATGAAGATTTTCCTGAGTCTGCAATGGAGTGTGTACTCTCTTGGGGGAGCGATCCCGTTTACCGAATTCTGGGGAGTATTGAGCACAGGTTGACAAAAACTAGGGCTTGAGGGACCCTAGAATTCCCAAGACCTCCATCAGGTCACCCTCACCCTCCTCTTTTCAAGAGAAAAGAGTCCAAACATGTTCAGCCTTTCCTGATAGGTATAACCTCTCAGATCTGGGATCATCCTTATGAATCTCCTTTGCACCCTCTCCAGTGCCTCTACATCCCTTCTATAACATGGGAACCAGAACTGCACACAGTATTCTAGGTGTGGTCTAACTGAGGTTCTATAGAAGTTCACCATAACTTTCCTGCTTTTCATTTCTATCCCTCTAGAAATGAACCCCAATGCCTGGTTTGCCTTTTTTATGGCCTTATTAACCCGCATTGCTACTTTTAGTGAATTGTGTATATATACCTGTATATATACCTGTGGAGTCCTGTAGCTCAGTGGTTAGAGCACTCGCTTTGCAAGTGAGAGACCTGAGTTCAATTCCAGGCAGAGGGCGAAATCTTGGGCAAGTTTCCTTACTCCACACAGAGCCTAATAATAATCCCTCCAAAACCAAACAATAATAAATTGGTCATTTTCAATCTACGATTGTTTGTGGGACATTGCTGTGCGCAATTGGCTGCCGCGTTCGCCCACAAATATATAGTCAATTCACTTTACAGTGTGTTCTGTGAAGCGCTTTGGGACGCTCTCCCGACGTGAAAAGCGCAATATCAGATGCAAGGATTATTATTATTAAATGCCCATTCAGCAAGCTTATTAATATCTTGCTGTAATTTGGTGTCGTCTGCAAATTTTGAAATTGTACTGCTGATTCCTGAGTCCAAATCATTAGTGTATATTGTGAACAACAGTGGTCCCAATACCGATCCTTGTGGAACACCACTGCCCACCCCCTGCCAGTCTGAGTAGCTCCCCTTTACCCCTACTCTCTGTTTTCTGTTTTGTAGCAGTTTGCTATCCATTAAGCTATTTTTCCCCTGACTCCACGTGCTCTGACCTTATACATTAGTCTATTATGTGGTACCTTATCGAACGCCTTTTGGAAATCTAAATATATTACATTTACCGCATTCCCCTTGTCTACTCTTTCTGTTACTCCTTCAAAAAATTCAATGAGGTTGGTCAAGCATGACCTTCCTTTTCCGTGCTGACTATTCTTTATTATGTTTTCCATTTCTAGATATTTTTCTATTACCTCCTTCAGTAAGGATTCCATTAATTTCCTACCACCGATGTTATCTGACAGGTCTATAGTTCCCTGGGTACAACATTAGCTATCCTCCAGTCCTCTAACACTACTCCAGAGTGAAATATCTTTAGGTATTTTGTGTGTCAGCCATTCACACTGTCACCTTGGAGACAGAAGTTTCTGTGTTCAAGTACCTCATCAGGTATTTGAGCTCACAGTCTAGGCTGATATGCTAGTGCAGTGCTGGGGGAGTGCCGCATTGTTGGCTGAGATGTTAAAACCGAGTCCCCATCTACTTGTTCAGGCAGATGTTACAGATCCTATGCTAATATTGAGAAAGAGAAGGGAGTTTCTCACAGGCTTCTGACCGAAAATCCCCCATATAAAATTGGTTGCTCACTCCTTGGTTGTTTGTGGGACTTTTTGGGGGGGGTCGGGTGGGGTTGGAGGCTCAACTGGGTGTCTGGCACGAGCAGAAACCCATCCCCATGCTTAAAAGTATCCAAACTGAGCAGGTAATTCCATGCATCCCACCTACACATGGAAATTCCAGAGATGGATTGTTGGAATGGAATGAGCCCCTCTACCTGGAGGGATGCTTCCTGCTTACCGGATTCCGGAAAGTATTAAGCGCAGGTTGGCGCAGAGCCAAGGCTTGGGGACTCCAGAGTATGCGTTGGGGTAACTGCTTGCTGTTTTCAGATGTCCAGTGAATTTACACACGGCACAGAGGAAGGTCATTCGGACCATTGTATCTGTGCTGGCTATTTTAAGAGAGATTCTTTCTGGCCTCCTGACTTGAAAGGTGCTACATCAAATGCAAGGGTTATTATAGCAAGGACTGCAAGTATTATTATTATTATTATAAAATGAAAGGATTATATTATAATAAAGTGCATGTTCTTTTAATTATTGTTAGTATTATCATAATATTTTGTGGACGTTTGTGAAGTATGCTCCACCACTGCCTCACCTCCTCAGGCCGCCGAGACCCTCATCCACGCATTCATCACATCTAGGATCGACTACGCAAACTCCCTGCTGGTCGGCCTCCACAACTCCTCCCTCCATAAGCTGCAGATCATCTGGAACTCTACAGCCCATGTCCTCTCCCGCCCCAGGCTCCATGACCCTATCACCCCCATCCTTGCCCGACTCCACTGGCTTCCTATCACTCAGAGGTTACAGTTCAAGATCCTGGTCGTCACCTTCAAAGCCCTCCACGTCCTCACTCCTCCCTACTTCTGTGACCCCCTAACCCCCTACCAACCTGCCCGCTCCCTCCGCTCAGCAGTCTCCAGCCTGCTTCACATTGCCCCCTTTACCTGCCCACCATTGGGGACCTTCAGCCTTTCTGCTCCCACTCTATGGAACTCCATCCCGCCATCCCTCTGCCTCACCCCTTCCCTCGTCTCCTTCAAGACCGGTCTCTAGATCCTCTTTGACCGTCCCTTTGGTCACCTCCTGATCCCAACCACCAGCTCGGGTGCAGATACCTGGCTGCCCAGCACCTTGGGACATCCTCCTGATACGAAAGGCGCTGTACAAATGTAATTTGTTGTTGTTTGGTGCTATATTCTGTGAAGTGCTTAAATTCTGCCTTATCTCAATGACGTGATAAGACTCAGTATCAAATGCAAAGCTTAATATTATTTTATTATTATTTTTTATGCTGATGTGAATTGACAGCCTGTCCTGCTCTGTGTTTTGCCAGCGATGAGAAACCACAGCGAGTTGGTGGAGCTCCCGCTCCTGAAGGACCTGAGTTTTCTGGGTTTGCTGCAGGATGACTATGGACCACGGCAGATGTCTTCGCCCATCATCAGCGGGCAGTGTGGAGACTCAGTTTACGAAACAGGTGTGATACTCAGGCACTTTACACACACATTTTTTTTTGGTGGGGGGGAGAATGGGAGTCAGCTGGATGTCTGACACATATGGAAACCCATCACCATGCTCAAGAATATCCAAGGTGGAGGGAAGAGCTTTGGAGTCAATCATGGATGTGGATTCATAAATGGTTGAAGGGAAGGAAGCAGAGGTTTGTTGGGGAGCAAGGTCACAATGGGGGCGGGGGGAGGTATTCAGTGGGTGCCTCAGGGGTCTGTACTGGGACCCTCTTGTTCGTCAAGTGTGTTAATAAACTGGATTCCATTCTGTGTAAGATGACAGATTTGTGGGTTGGGGGAAAACTGTGGAATCAGAGGAGACAGCAAATGTCTTATAAAGAGAGCTTGATAGGGTTTGCACATGGGCTGTTAACTAGCAAATTAAGTTAAATACAGATAAATGCAAATACTACATATAGGAAACACAAACATACTCTACGGATGGGATAGAAGTTTCCAAGAGGGAAGCTGAAAGAGATGTAGTAATGCAAGGCAGCTTCAAACAAGCCTAACATGGCAATATTCCTAAACTAGTTGAGTTCAGATTCCCGGACACCACATTGAAGCTATACAGTGCTCTGGTCAGATCGCACCGATAGTATTACACACAGTTCTGGTAACCACAAGACAGTGGGGCTGCATTGAATCACTGGACAGCAAAAGGATGATGTCCAGTGTTAGAGGAATGAGCTATGAGAAACAATTAGACAAGACTCAGAAGGAACCTCACAGAAGTGTATAACGTTTAAATGGGATTAAAAAGTAGACTCAGATCAATAACAGCAACAACGTCTTGTATTTACATAGCACCCCTCATCCAGGGTAGCGTCCCAGACCGCTTGAATACTTTATGATGCACCGAAACACTACACTAAGAGGACACAGGTTTGAGTTGTAAAGGGGTAACTTCAGCAACGACACCAGGAAGTTTTTCTTTAAGCAATGTTGCTCTCCTCTACTTTGCCTCTAGGTATGGAGTGGGCAGCTCCACTCTGTCACAGTGACCTTGGGGTGTCCATTGCTCTAAGGGAGGCCAGGACACTCATTAAAAAGGCACCTCGATGCTGTGATGGGGAACAGTAGGGTGGGTGTTTTGTAGGTGATGAGTTTGAGTGGGCCCGAAGGGCCTTCCTCATCCAAACCAATCTTGTAATCTGAGGGTATTTTATTCTCTTATGTTAAGGTTATGAGTGTGAGAAGTATGGTAACATCACATAGCTGAGCACAAAATAAATTCAAACATAACAAGAGTTTCAGTTAAATGGTTAAATTGTTCTACACCAGGATTACAAAGGTACATTCCTTTATTATTGGTAGTTTCATTTTCTCTTAACTGTCCTGATATCATCCCTCACTTTGGGTTTGTCAGTCTTTCTCATATCTTGCGGCTTCTTGCCTTGTTTGGGTTCTGTTCTTGATTAATTGACAGGAAATTTGACTTTTGTTGTCTGAGTCTATCGTCTTTGTTCGATTTAATGAAGATCTTCAAAAGTCTTCACTTTCCCCTAATAGCAGAATTTCTATCGAGGAGGTTTTGTCTGTCTGCGTTTCCCTTCTTCTTTGACTGCTGAATCTCCAAAGAATTTACACAGACTGTACAGTACAGAATCAGGCCTCTTGTCCCAACCAGTCTGTGCCGGTGTTTATACTGCACACGAGTCTTCACTCACTGCTCACTCCCTCCCACACCCTTCTGTACCCTTCTCCCTCATGTGAAGGTCCAGTTTCCTCTTGAATGCATCTACACTATCTGATTCAACCACCGCTTCAGGCAGCAGGTTCCACAATCTCACTACCCTCTGCGAGAAGTATTTCCTCCTAAATTCCCTTTTAGATTCCTCAGTTGCTGTCTTATACTTGTGTGTCCTAGTTAAGTGTTCTGAGACGCTACCCTGATGGAAGATGCTATATGAATTCAAGTTGTTGCAAGTTGTTGTTACAAACTCTCCAATGAAACAGCCTATTTATTGCTAAAATCCTTCTTACAATCTTTTGAATCCATTTTGGCATCATCTTTGGATTTGTTTTGAAGTTGACTGAATCTCTTTTTCCATTAAATGTGTCAAATATTCCAATCTGTCAAATCTTCGAATCTCCTTTGGAAACTCTTGAATTCCAGTCCTCGGACTTTCCCACCAGTAATCCTCACTGGTATGGGGCTCCTCCCGGTTTGGGGTGGGAATGGCTGAGATGTATGGAGTGAGACTCCACCTATTCCTTGAACATTCGTCTCTTGTAATCTTCTCAATCAATGTGAGGCCTTTGTCTGTGGGACAGGGTGACGATTAGTCGAGGGATTTAAGAGTCTCTCAACACTGATCACTGGTGTTTAAGATCACAGCTGCACATGTCTGTGTGGGAATGCTCCTCCAACCTGCAGGCAAGGAGGCAGAATTAACCCCACCAGCAGGTGCTGTGTAGTTGTACGAGACAGTTATTGCCCTCCTGCGAGTGTCCCTGCGATTAATTGTTTTTATTTGGACTGTTTTCTTTAAGTTTTAATTTTCTTTTCATCGGCGGTCGGGCCTTGAGCCTTTCTGCCCCCACCCTCTGGACACCATCCCCGAATCCCCTCTGCCTCGTCCACTCACTCCCTCACCTCCTTCAAGGCCCATCTCAAGACCCTCCTCTTTGGCCACCCTCCCACCCCCACTTCCCCTACCTACCCTCCACCCCTCTTGATCCCAACCTCCAGCTCGGGTGCAAACTCTTCACTGTACAGCTCCTTGGGACATGCTTGTGACATGAAAGGCGCTGAATAAATATAATTTATTGTTGTGTTTAATGTCTAAAACTGTATGTTTCCGTGTTACTAATTTCAGATCTCGACATTAATCAGTGTGAGCTGAACATGTGCATTTTGGATGATATCGTTAACCCGGGGACAAGCCTGGACCAATATGAGGAAGGAATAGGTGACCATCTTTTTATTTTTTATGGAGTCTCTTCTTCCATATCTGGATTTGTTGTATAGCTGTGAACTTTGTAATTACACTTCTGGCATTCAATGCGCTGTGCGTACGTATTTGCTATCCAAATGTCCATCAATTCTAATTATAAACCCATCCTCTGTTTGTCATACAGAAGGGATTTTAAAGTATTTGCAGGATCCACGACCTCTGAATACAATTGCCTTGGAGCAGTACTTTGGTGAGTTCCTGTTTTTTGTCCAAACTATTCTCTTCAAAATGTAAACCTTCAGTCTAACAAGATCACACGTGGGCTTCATAGGGGAGAGCTCCAACTCCAAGATAATAATAATAATAATTCTTGCATTTGATATAGCGCTTTTCACGTTTTCTCGACGTCTCAAAGCGCTTCACAGAATAGACTGTAAAGTGAATTGACCATATATTTGTGGGCGAAACACGGCAGCCAATTGCGCACAGCAATGTCCCACAAACAGTCGTGGATTGAAAATGACCAATTTATTATTGTTTTTGGTTTTGGAGGGATTATTATTAGGCTCTGTGTGGAGTAAGGAAATTTGCCCAAGGTTTCGCCCTCTGCCGGGAATTGAACCCGGGTGTCTCACTTGCAAAGCGAGTGCTCTAACCACTGAGCTACAGGACTCCTCTGATGGTTTCATCAGAAACAGGATTGAGATGATCTGTATAAAGCACATCTCAATCCTGGATGAGTTTCAAGAGGGAAGTAAACAGGTAATAATAATAATCCTTGTATTTATGGATAAGGACAGGTAATGAAAGACTGAGGTTTGAAGGAGTATTGGATAAGGGACTTGGGGATGGCACTTGACACAGACACGCACAGAGACTGGCACTGTGACTGGCACTGAGCTCCCAGTAACAGGCTATGTTAATGAATAAATAAATGAAATGTGCTAGTCTTTGATATGCCAGTGGATCTGATCGATATCCCTAAGATGTGACAATGATTTTTGTTATTGACTTTGTTGTTCAGGCTCTTGGTCATTTAATGGGTCTTGCCTATTTCAAAGAAAACAACTGCTTTGGTTAATGGAATGTTTAAATAGTGCTGATTTTCTGGTATTTTAGGATGTCAGTGTGGCTCAGTTGGAATTGTTTCTCCCTCACTTCTGCGTTAGAAGGTTGTGAGCTCAAAGCCCAATGTTGGGTCTTGAGATTAATAGTCTAGACTGACAGTCCATTGAAATATCTAGCGAGTGCTGAATTATCAGAGGTGTGTCCATCGACTTTTGGGATAGAGAAAAGATCTTTTTTTTGTGCCTATTTTATAATTCCTTAGACTACTTGTGGAGTCCTGTAGCTCAGTGATTAGAGCACTCACCTCTCAAGCGAGAGACCTGGGTTTGATTCCCGGCAGGGTGAAACCTTGGGCAAATTTCCTTACTCCACATGCCTGATAATAATCCCTCAAGAAAAAAATAAATTGCTCACTTCAATCCACGACTGTTTGTGGGACGCTGCTGTGTGCAATTGGCTGCTGAGTTTCACCCACAAATATACAGTCAATTCACTTTACAGTATATTCTGTGAAGCACTTTGAGACGTCTAGAAGACGTGAAAACCGCTATATCAAATGCAAGGATTATTATTATTATTATTAAGTGGTCAGGCCTTGGAGCAGGTTGGAAATGAATGTTAGTAAAAAAAAGTTTCATAACTAGTCTTTTCCTGCCGCCCCTGTCATATGATCAAAAATTACTTTTATTTCCAGCTGGTGGCTGAAAATATTTTCCTCTGTAAGTTATACAATGATCTAACAATTGCTCAACAACAGAAGGGAGTTTCTCTCTCCCGGTATCCTGTCCAAAAATGCTCCATATAAAACTGGTTACACAAATCATGGCTGTTTGTGGGACATTGCTGTGTGCAAATTGGCTGCTGCATTTTCCTGCAGAATACATAGTAACTACACTTTACAGTATTTCCTGTCAAGTGCTCTGAGACTTCTTCCTGATGTGCAGGGTGTTATATCAAAAACAAGAATGATTATAATCACTGTTTTGTTTTAAATCTTAAAATGCTGCAGAATTTGACGTCTTTATTTGGAAGCCGGTTTATCACAGTATTGCAAAGGAACTAAACAATTTTCTCCAATTCTGTGCAACCGGTCTTAAATTTGTAGGCAAAATGATGTGAAGTCCTCTGGTTACATGAAGGAGTTCCTTGTTAAGAAATGGGGCTCTCGAGAACCCTCTTTTACAGCACCTTTGTGTGCAATGGTTTGCAATGGTAAACCTCTGTCAGTACTGCCTGTGAGGTATTATTATAATAATCCTTGCACCTTATCACATCATCAACGTCTCAAAAAGCTTCACAGCATATACTAAAGTGGATTGACTATGCATTTTGTGGGTGAAACCTGACAGACAGTCATGCGGTGAGTGACCAATTTTATTTGGGGGATTGTTAGCCGGGTCACCGGGAGAGAGAAACTCCCTTCTCTTTTCGAATAGCGGTACAGGATCTTTAACGTCCACATGAACAGAGAGACGGGGTCTCGATTTAATGTTGTATCCGAAGGACATTAATAGCGTTTGTTTCTTTGTGTGTTCTCCAGATAACGATCTATTGCTGGAAACCCAGGAGTTTGTGATGTGCAGAGCTCCGACAGACCCCAGTGATGGTAAGTCACTTCAGTAGTAACAGAGACATGGAGATAGGGGGCCAGGGTGTGGTGTAAGGGGCAGAGTATGAGAGTAGATGGCAGGGGTGTGGGGGATGGAGCAGGGGGATATGAGAGTAGGCGGCAAGAGTGTGGGGGATGGGGCAGAGAGTATGAGAGTAGACAACAGGTAGTACAGGTTTATGACACTGTGGGTATACGTGACGTGTGTTTGTGTGTAGGGGGGAAACTGGAGATCTCTGACCTCTAAAGCAATTCCTTCATTCACCTGACCTCATGCCTGTTGTTGGAGCAGAGATGGTAGAGGATAGGGAGTGAGATTACTGGCAGAGCCACAGCTGGTTTTGGCAGTGTGACTGCAAGCTGTCAGGGGGTTTTCACACAACCACAATCGCCCAAATCTGGGTGAACTTTCGGTAAAATTTCGGGTTTTTGATCGCGTAGAAGTTTACAGTGCAGAAGAAGGCCATTTGGCCTATCGTGTCTCAAGGCTCTTAGGACATTTAGGTGCTTTGAGATATCCTGACCTTTGTCTTTCGGGCAAGTTTAGCAGGTGGTTCTGAACAGGTAACTTGGGTGGTTTGCCTGACACCTGGAGAAACGAGATTGAAAGAGGAAAGAATATAAACATAGAAACACAGAAATTTCGCCCACACAGAAGGACCTTTTAGAGAACTTGTTAATCTTCTCATCATAATAATAATAATCCTTGTATTTGATACAGCGCCTTATCTCGTCGTTGAGACACCTCAAAGCGCTTTACAGGATATACTGTAAAGTGAATTGACTGTGTATATTGTGGGCGAAACGCAGCAGCCAGTTTGCAACATAGCAGCGCCCCACAAACAGCCATGGAGTGAGTGACCGATTTTATTTAGGGGAATTATTGGCCAGGACACTGAGGAGGGAGAAACTCCCTTCTCTTTTTGAATTAGTGCCGTGCGATCTTCAACATCCACCTGCAGTCAGGAAATAACAGACAAAAGGGAACCTCGGCTTAATGTGTCATCTGAAGGATGGCACCTCCGATAATGCAATATCCCCCCCCAGCGCTGCATGGGAGCATCTTCTTAGACTATGTGATTCAAAGTCCGGCCATGGGTCTTGAGCCCACAACCTTCTGACTCAGAAGTGAGAGCGCTACCCACTGAATCACACTGCCATACACTTCTTTGAAACAGTGTTGTTAGACCTTAATCTCCCCCAGAACAGCTGTTTAATGAATGGATGGTGTCTCTGATAATGTTCAGGAGGAAGCCCCATCCTTACACTTGCGCAGGGGGGAGGAGACAGGTCATATGTATCTACACAGACAGCACCGGGTCTGAAAACACACAGCTTCTCACAATCCACCCACAGGGAGTTGTTTTCGGTTCCTGTTTCCATCTCATTTGCAGGGTTGCTCAGTCAGTTTTTGCAATCGTCCACCAACCGCACAGTACTTGCTTGCACTTGACCTCCAAATACATTTGGTCACTCATTTCGTGGTTGTTTGTGGGAAGTTACTGGATACAACGACACAAAGTTAGGTAAGGTGGTAAACAGTGAGAAGGATAGTAGCCAACTGCAGGAAGACAGAGACAGAATGGTAAAATGGGCGACACATGGCAAATGAATTTCAATGTGGGGAAATGTGAGGTAATGCATTTTGGTAGAAAGAATGAGTGGAGGCAATACAGGCCGGTAATACAATCATAAGGGGTAAAAGAACAGAGAGACCTGGGGGTGCAGGTAAATGAATCCTTGAAGGTGGCAGGACAGGGAGATACAGCTGTAAAAAGGGCATACGGGATACCTGGCTTTATAAATAGGGGCATAGAGTACAAGAGTCAGGAGGTTATGATTAACCGATATAAACACTGGTTAGGCCTCAGTTAGAATACTGCGCCCAGTTCTGGACACCACACTATAGGAAGGATGTTAAGGCATTGGAAAGGGTCGCAGAGGAGATTTACGAGGATGGTACCAGGAATGAGGGACCGTGATGATGAGGAAAGGCTAGCGAGGTTAGGATTATTCTCATTGGAGAAGAGAAGGTTACGAGGAGACCTAATAGAGGTCTTCAAAATCATGAGGGGATTTGATAGGTTAGAAAGGGAAAAACTGTTCCCACTGGTGGGTGTGTCGGTGACTCGAGGTCACAGATTCAAAATAGTCTCTAAAAGAAGCCGAGGGGAGGTGAGAAGAAATTTTTTCACGCAGCGAGTTGTTCGAATCTGGAACGCATTGCCTGAAAGGGCGGTCGAGGCCGATTCGATAACTACTTTTAAAAACGCGGTGGACGGGTATTTGAGGAGGACGGGTTTGCAGGTTATGGGGAAAGGGCTGAGGAGTGGGATTGACATTACATTGCTCTTTTCAAAGAGCCGCACAGACTCGATAGGCCGAATGACCTCTTTTTGTGCTGTACAATTCTATGATTCTATGAAATTAGTTGTCGTGTTCACCTACACAACGCACAGTCACTGCACTTCACAGAAAACCCGGGAAGCTCTTTGACACATCCTTCTGATGCGATAAGCAAACAAATAAGCTGCATTTGCGTAGCACCTCTCATATCGGGACGAAGTCCCAAGGCGTTGGAGGTGTTACATCAAGTGCAAGGATTGTTATTGAATATATATTGGCAAGTTCACACTGGAAAAGAGAAGATTGAGAGGCAAGAAATGATTGCTGTCTTTAAGATTCTGAAGGGGCAAACCAATATAGGTCACAAAAGGCTGTTTCAACATGTCCAGAATAATAAAACCAGAGGGCACGGCCTCCGATTGAAGTGGGGGAAATACAGAACGAATCTACGCAAACGCTATTTCAGTGTGCGAATAGTGAACCTGTGGAAGAGGCTCCCTGGGGAGACGGTTGAAGCAGGAAGTGTTGATTCTTTCAAACACAGATGAGATAGTTTTCTTTTGGGAAATAACATTGTGGATATAGTACATTTTAGGAGTTTGGGACATATGTACATGCGACCGCCAGGAAGGTGGAAGGGGAACTGGATGGACTGTGGTCTTTCTTCGTCTAGCATTTTTATATTTTTATTTTGCATTTATTTTACATTTTTATTACAGTCGTCATCACCCCCATCCTGAAAAAACCTTCCTCCTCTCCAGCTACCACCCCATCTCTGATCTCCCATTCCTCTCCAAGGTCCTGGAACGAGTCATCGCGTCCCAGCTCCGCTCCTTTCTCTTCCGCCATTCCCTCTTTGAACCCCTCCAATCCGGCTTCTGCGCTGCCCACAGCACGGAAACAGCCCTGGGGGTCACAGTCACTAATGACATTCTGAACATCTGTGATCAGGGCTCCCTCTGCCTCCTTGTCCTCTTCGACCCCTCTGCCGCCTTCGACGCTGTCGACCACTCCATCCTCATACATCACCTCCCCTCTTTACTTAATCTTCGCGGACCTGCCCTTGCCTGAATCGAATCCTATCTCTCTCACCGTCTCCACTTTGTTGCCTCTAACGGTTTCTCCTCCAGTCCCACACTGTCATGTCTGGCGTCTCCCAGGGCTCTGTCCTTGGCCCTCTCCTCTTTAATATCTACGTGCTCCCCCTTGGTGACATCATCTGCAGACATGGGGTCAACTTCCATACGTATGTGGATGACACCCAACTCTTATCTTTCTGCCTCCACCCTCAACTCCAGGACCACTGCTGTCCTGTCAGACTGTCTGTCGGACATCAAGTCCTGGACGAGGGCAAATTTCCTATAGTTGAATGTGAACAAGACTGAGGCTCTCCTGATTGTCTCTCACCAGTGCCTCAGCACCTCAGGCTCTGGCAGCATCAACCTCCATGGTCGCACACTACAACTCACCAAAGCCAGTCAGGAACCGAGGTGTTCTTGTTTGACCCTCAACTGTCTGTTCTTCCCCACATCCAAGCCATGACCCGCTCTGCCTTCCCTCACCTCTGTAACATCACCCGACTCCGCCACTACCTCACCCCTCAGGCCGCTGAAACTCTTGTTCATGCCTTCATCACCTCTAGGCTCGACCATGCAAACGCCCTGCGTGTCGGCCTTCCCAACTCCTCCCTCCACAGATAATCCAGAACTCTGCAGCCCGTGTCCTCTCCCACAACAAACACCGTGACCCCATCTCCCCCATTCTCGCCCAACTCCATTGGCTCCCTATCCTTCAGAGGATCCAGTTCAAGATCCTGGTCCTCACATACAAAGCCCTCCATGGCCTCACCCTACTCTACCTCCTAACCCCCAATCAACCCGCCCATTCCCTCCACTCAGCCGGCTCCGGTCTGCTCCACGTCCCCCAACCCACCCGCCACACCATTGGCGGGAGAGCCTTCAGCAACTCTGCTCCCAACCTCTGGAATCCCATTCCCCAATCACTCCACCTCGCCCCCTCCTTAGCCTTCTTCAAGTCCCGCCTCAAAACCCTCCTCTTCAACCGTGACATCGGCCTCACCCCTCCCCCTCCCCTCCCTTCCCCTCCTGACCCCAACTCGGGTCTGAAATGCTGTACACTGTCCAATGCCTTGGGACGTCCTCCTGACGTGAAAGGTGCTATATAAATGTAATCTTGTTGTTGTTGTTTTATGTTCTTATGTTGGTGGTTATGTCCTGACCAGTGAGCGTTTTAGGCTGACGAGAAAACCGAGAGGAGTTCAATGACAGTTTGTGAATCTCTCACTAACAGACGACAGCTCGTGCTCCGCAGATGATCAACTCCCAGACCAGAGTTCCCCGGGCATTCCCTGCACAAGGAGGAGAGGCAGGAAGAGAGGTAAGATCCTCCCACACCCTCAAGGAAGCCCCGAGGTCGGCTCTGCCCTGGGTGGAGAGAGAGAGAGAGAGATAGAGAGAGGTCTGTTCTGCGCTGATGTCAAACAATGAAGGCAACGTTAGCCCATGTGCTCTAATGCACTGGATATTTCCTCCCGTCAATCTTGGTTGTTGGTTACCAAACGGGATGACTGAAAAGCTGAGGATCCTGGCCTCCCCTCCCCCTGGGCTCCTGGACATCACTGCCCCAGGCTCCATGGTCACCCTGGGCACTAGCAGCACGTGCGAGGCTGGCATGACTGGTCTGAGAGCAAACATTAGGAGGTTCAGAAGAGCAGTCGTGGGACTTCAGTCAGTGGAGGGAAGTGAGAGAGAGAGAGAGAGAGAGAGAGAGAGAGAGAGATGGAGAGACACTTAAGGGATATGGCGCAAGTGAGCAGCATTAGCAGAGAATGTCCTGCGAGGGCCATGGAACGGGCTGGATGGGCTGAATGGCCTCTTCCAGCCCTGATTTGCCGTGTCATTTGCGGGGTGACTGCGATGCCCCAGGGAGGCCTGGGCTGAGCTGGAGGGTTGGTGTCAGCCATTGCTGCTTGATGCTGAGGCTCATCTTTCACTACAGCGACCAGCAGCTCCAGCCCCACAGAGGAGCAAGAGACCATCACCCAGGCCACGAGCATCAAAAAGCCAAAGCCTTCAGGAGCAGGTAAGAAGGTCCTTCCTGCTGCCCCTCTCATTGTTACACATTGCTTAACCGCCTCGCTTGTGGTGTGTCAGCCCGGCTTCCTCGCTAACCGCTGCTGTCTCTGAGTCAGAACGTAGTGGGTTCAGGCCCTACATTGTGACGTTGAGCTCGTATAGTCACTCCATTGCAGCGACTGAGGGGAAGAATATGTGCCTCAGAGTTCCTGAGTTCCAAAGCTTCGGGGAGTAGTGGCTAAAAACATGGCCGCTGAGCCCATCTCCTATGTGGTCACACTTCGTGTTCTTTTCTGGGTGAACAGAACCTGATGCTGAAGCCACTGAAGTAAACAAGGTGAATTGCCGAGAGTCACCCTCCCCCGGAGAAGAGGTTCCATCACAGATACTACCCGGTAAGCACCAACCCCACACTGACCAGCACGATATCTGTCCATCACGTTCAGAGTGCAGTAACTGTACATTTTGCACAGTCAGTCCCAGCCCAGATGATGCACAAGTCAAATAAAATCATTGTAAATTATGATGATAACAATAATAATCCTCATATTTGATATAGTGCCTTATCACATCTTTGAGACGTCTCAAAGCGCTTCAAGGAATATACTCTAAAGTGGATTAACTATGCAAAATGTGGCATCCAATTGAGAACAGCAGTGTCCCATAAACAGTCGTGGATTGAGAAACCAAATTATTATTCTTTTTAAGAGATTATTTACCCCGGAAAGCGATCCGCCAATCGACTAACAACCGGGTTCCTACTTACTGTTAAGTCAACAGAGGCGTGTAGAGTAAGGAAACTTGCTAAGGTTTCACCCCACCTGGGAATCGAACCCAGGTCCTCTCACTTGTGAGGCGAGCATGCTAAATTTGTAGAATAAAGCAAGGTTACCTCTGGATGATCAGAATTTGCAGTTCCGGAGCTGCTGGTTGACGGGTTTCTGCAGGACACACTGACAGATGTGGCAATAATCTCTCCCATCCTTGTTTTAGATGTGGAGGCCCTGCTCGTTTCTCCAGGATGTGCTGTAGAGACAGAGACACCAGACAGCATTGTGTCAATGAGCTACTCTCCAGGGCCAGAAGCCCTTCCTACGATCCCGCCCACCGCAGACACTCAGCACCCAGTGAGCCCCTCCACCAGCCTAGGTCTGTACGAGCTCCAGCAGATTCTTACACCCACCAAACCGCACCAATGACTGTCTGACTGTGCTACTAGTTAGTGGACGGGGCTTGGACTAACCGAATAATCGATAGACATCAGAAACCAGGGCAGCCAGTGACTGAGTCTCCGCAGCCTGTGGGTACATGGATTTGTGTCTGTTCACACCCAGTGACTCCTGACTCCAGGGGTTCAGCTTCCACACCGATCTGTCTGCTCTCTCCGTTCAGCGTTCTCCGATCTGCTTCATGTCCCCCACCCGGCGCGCCCCACCGTCAGCGGTGGGACCTTCAGCCTTTCTGCCCCCACCCTCTGGAACTCCATCCCACAGTCCTTTCCCTCCCTTGCCTCCTGCGTCAAGATCCTCCTCTTCGACAGCACCTTTGGGCACCCTCCTACCCCACCCTCCCTGCCCTCCATCCCTCCTGATCCCAACTCCCAGCTTGGGTCCAAATCCCTGACTGTCCAGCGCCTTATAAATGTTATTTATTGTTGTTATTTGTTTCTTTCAGGAAATGGGTTGAGCGGCCTGCCTCTCAGCCCAGGGGTTATCCAGCTGATCACGTCCTGCTCGTTCCCACAGCAAGTCATCAGCTTCCCATTCAGTGGCACCATCCAGTCGGGTATCGCCACTTACTTCATAGGTCAGTCCCCCGTTCTGCTCGCCTCCGTTACAGCGCTTTGGGACGTCCTCCTGTCGTGAAAGGCGCTCTATAATTGTAATTGTGTTGTTGTTGTTGTTACACCTACAAATACACGGTCACCACACAGGACAGCGATTCCTTGTGAAACAACAGCAATAACAAATGACGTTTATACAGAGTCTTTCACGTCGGGAGGACGTCACAAGGGGCCAGGGGCGGTTAAGGGTTTGCACCCGAGCTGGTGGTTGGAATCAAGAGGGGTGGAGGGTGGGGGTGAGTGAGAGGTGGGCTGAGTGGCCTCCTCCTGTTCCTACATTCCAAACGGCCCAGGGTAGCGAAACGTGAGGTTTCGGTTTAATGAGGAGCATCACGTGGACAGTAACAGGTTCGCACTTATCTACGGTTCTGATTGGAGTGAAATAGTCTTTATTCACACAATGTGCTCCCGTCGCTGAGGGCACATCGCCTTCCGGTGGCCGAATGGAGAACTGCTACATTTAGCTTGTCACTCTGGCCTTCAGGCTGAGATCAAACACAGCATTAACTCGACAACGACAACAACAACTTCCATTTATATAGCACCCTTCATGCCGAACGGCGTCTCGGAGCGCTTAACAGTGGCGGAGCCCGAAGCCTAAAGTAGATACCTATTCACTCCTCCCAACATAAAAGCTGCTGTACAGTACAAGTGTGAATCGAGGTTCGAGGTTGTTAAGATCAGAATGGGTGCCAATGCTGTCTTTTATTGGTTGGGGGCTGGGGTTTGATGCTGGATGTGAGTGTCTCTAGAGCAGGGGTGGGCAAAATACGGCCCACGGGCCATATCCAACCAGCCAAATGATTCTATCCGGTCCATCATTGTGTCTACCGATAGAAAAAATTATAGTTTGTTCAGACCCAGACAGGATCAGTTTTAAATGCGTCCCTTAAGTTTCTTACTTTTGTCACAGCATCGATTTTTAATTGCTAAAGTCGTTAGTTTTTTTCTCCACAAATTTCGCATTTGAATCAGACCGGGAACATCAGCCAATCACACGGCTTAGTTGTGCGCACGCTCCCTTAAGTGTTGAATCAGGCCGACGTCAGAAATGTACGGATCGGCAAATTTTCAAACAGGCGCTCGACAATACTTTTCACTGAAGAGGACGTTAATTCGAAATGAGTTTATCAAAGAAGCGGAAAGTGGACGCTGAAGGCCAAATATTCAGCAAAGAATGGACTTCTAAATATTTTTGTACCAGTGTGGGTGGAAAAGCTGTGCGCTTAATTTGCAAAGAAAGAGTGGCAGTGCTCAGAGACTACAACTTGAATCGCCATTTTGAGAGCAAACATGCTTGCAAATATAAGAATGTTTCTGCCGAAGAAAAAGGAAAGAAAGCTGATGAGATGGTTGTTCGAATGTAAAAAGAGCAAAGCGTTTTCACAAAACAATTTGCATCCCAGGATGAGATGACAACAGTGAGTTACGTGATGGCACACGAAATCACCAAAAAGAGGAAATCATTCTCTGAAGGAAAATTTATAAAGGAACGTATGGTTGATACTTCAGAAAGGTGCCTGTGTGCACGATGTGTATTGCAGTGTTAAGTCATTTATGACAAAATTATTTATTTTATTGTGTCAGATAGGAAACAGGCAGTTCACCCACTTTCCAACTTTGCAGTAGATTACTGTTTACGATCAAAGCCTTAAAAAGTAGACTTTGTCACTACTTGACTTTCATGCCAAATTTTCTCGCCGATTCCAGGATTTCAATTTGATCGAAAATGACCTTTCTTTAGTCTCTTCACCTTTCTCATTTGATGTTGACAAAGCCCCATTTGACTTCCAACTCAAGCTTATCGATCTTCCTTCAATGTGATCCATTGCTTACAGAGCAATTCAAATCAGCGCCGCTTCCCAGTTTTTACGCCTCTGTTAATGAATATACCTTTCCAAAAATAAAAGCTCATGCTCGGAGGATGCTTGTGCTGTTTGGATAACATACGTATGGGAGGAGACATTTTCTGTGATGAAATTCAATAAATCAAAACATGGATCTGTGATGATTGATCACCACCTTGCAGCAGTACTCCGCATCGCAACAACGGAGACGATGCTTGAATTCAATTGTCTGGTTAACGCACATCAGTGCTTTCATTCTTCCTATTGAGTGAGCGTCTCACATTCTCATCAATATCTGACTGAATGAATAAATAATCGAATAAATGTCTCCTCAGTGAGTTGTTTTTATCTAACCTAATTTTAATGAATGTCAATTACATAGACTTTATTTTATGCATGGACAAGTGTAAGACTTGATTTTGAGTTATCATTAAGCATATGCATCTATATTAAGTGTGTAGCCCGCAAAGCTTGTGAAGTAGTCTAGAGTCTAACCCACCACGGAACTGGGCTCACACCCTGAACCTCACTCTTGGGGAAATACTGTGAATTGGTCGAATTACTGGGAACCGAACTGGAGAATTGCTATATTTCCTCTCACTCTTGGACTGAAATGTTTTTCAAACATACTCCTTGTACTGCAGAGGTTGCTGTATTCTTCTGTTCTTTGTAAAAATTGATCGTCTTTGTGTGTGTGTTTCAGTTGCAAACAAGAGTTTACCTAGAGCTCCTGAGCTGCCTCTGACAGTATTGTCTCCTACACTTTCCTCTGGTGAGTAGCTCAGCCCCTCACCCCTGGAACTCCTTCGCTCTGTTACTCCGTCTCACCTTGTCTTAAGTCCCTACTCAAAACGCACCTCTTCCTACACACCTGTTCGTGTCCTTCCGACGTGAAGGGCACCATATAACTGTAATTTTGTTGTTGTTGGAGTCCCGTACTCAGTGGTTAGAGCACGCGCCTCGCAAGCGAGAGAACCCGGGTTTGATTCCCAGGCGGGGCAAAACTTTAGGCAAGTTTCCTACTCCACACGCCTCTATTTACCTCGCAGGAGGTAGGAACCTGGTTGTTAGTTGATTGGCGGATTTGGCTTTCTGAGTGTAATAATCCCTTCAAAAATAAAATTTAGTCGCTCAATCCACAACTGTTTGTGGGACGCTGCTGTGCGCAATTGGCTGCCGTGTTCTGCCCACAAAATACACAATCAATTCACTTTACAGTTTATCCTGCGAAGCGCTTTGAGACGTCTCAATGACGTGATAAGGTTCTGTATCAAATACAAGGATTATTAATATTATTTTACGTCAACATTGTTGCACCATGAGCCACGAGTGAGACCTGGCTCACAAAGGGTCTCAGTGCAGCTCACTGCCATCTCAGCTCCAGCAGAAAGAACACGATCCCCCTGATAATTTGCTCACAGAGACGTGTGCGTAGCTATTTCAAAGTGTCATCACATGTAAGCAGTAAAAATTTCCCTCTTAGAATATTCAGTTGAAGTCGTCATCTGAACTAATACTCTTTTGAATGCTCAAACTAAACTAATGGAATCAATTGATAGGTGTGTGTTTTTTGAGTGACAATATAATGATTTGTATAGTAAACCCACAATTCCCAACAGCTGTTTTCCGTCTATCTAAATGAATATAACTTGCATCTCCTGATGTTTCTATTCTCTTTGTCGGTAAATTCTTGCTCATCAGTTAAATGCTGGCAAATTGCGTGAGCAAACTGTACAGCATCAAAGTAACTGGAGTGGCTCACATTGTTATTCGAGAACCTCTCCTGTGTTTCACCTGCTGCATTCCTCAAATCTCTGGTAAAATGTGATGAAAGTTCGGAACAGAAATGGGAATTGAAGCATCTCTCCTACTCCTTATAATAATAATATAATATTAATAATATAATAATAATCAACACTGCCCATCAGTGCTCCTTGACTTCAATGTGCTCTCTGTGTTTCAGCTGCTTCAGGTCAGAGCTGTGCTCCTCCCAGTGAGACGAGTTGGCAGGTGGATCCATCGCCTGCTGCCCTACAGCCAGACCCTCCAGTCAGCCCAAAGCCCGCTCCTCACACTCCCCTCAAGGCTGAGAGTCCCCCAGAGCCCCTCACCAGCTCCCTGCCCGCAGACAGCCCCACCCCTCCAGCCAGCATCCAGGCGGAGGGACCAGGTAAGCACTAGATGTATTTAATCCATTCAGCTCAAGAAGAGAAGTGCAACATTAGTTGTAGCCAAACATGGACTATAACATGAAGTCGCCACACAGTAAAACTCACACACATTTTACCTTCATGAATCTTACAATCACCTGAATTGTACATTCACCCAAATGTACCCCCCATTCAGTTTCTTATCAAAACCACAGATTTATTTGTGCGACTCGTTCAGTCGCAGGAAACGTAACTTGATAATAAATATAACAATCCTTGCATTTGATATAGCGCCTTATCACGTCTTCCAAACGTCGCAAAGCGCTTCACAGAATATACTGTAAAGTGAATTGACTGTATATTTTGTGGGCGAAACGAGGCAGCCAATTGCGCACAGCAGCGTCCCACAAGCAGTCGTCGATTGAAGTGACCAAATTATTTATTTATTTGTTTACTTATTTATTGGGGGATTACTGATCCATCTATGCACAGAAGAACTTCAAGTCCGATGATTCAATGCGATTTCAATGCTTACGATTCCAAACCATTCCCAAGCGATGGGTCAAGACACCCTGAAACATGGGAAATGTAATCTTGACCTGTCACCACATGTACATTTACCGGCTGCATTGAATTACTCGTGCGCAGTGTAGATTATTGATTCAATCAGATTTTGTACGACTTACTTATACAGTTTTCTTGCCACTCGGATTTTGTGCAAAGCCATATTATATCTTTTGGTCCCAACTGACATGACTTATGTGAGTTTTACTGTAGTTGTAAAATAAGCTCAGGGCCTGAGAGGGGGAGTAATTATGGTGAGGAGGAAGGGAGGTAGTGATGGAGGGAGGGATGTAAGGAGGAGTGAATAGCTTGTGTGCAGATCTCGTAATGATCTTATTCTCTATTTAAGTTCCAGACAGAGAATCACCCGGTGAAGGCTTCCCAGAGCCGGTCACTCCCACAGTGAAACAATTCATCAAAACAAGTGAGTGTCTCATCTCTCGCCTCCACAAAACCCTAGTGAACTGTGCACTGAGATAAAGCACAATAATAATAATCTTGACATTTGATATAGAGTCTTTCAGGATACACTGTATAAAGTGTAGTGACTGTATATATTGCGGGCAAATGCAGCACCCAATTTGCACACAGCAACGTCCCACAAACAGCCATGAAGCGATTAATGCCCCAAGTGCAGTGCTGGGGGTGTGTTGCATTGTCGGAGGTGCTGTCCTTTGAATGAGATGTTAAACTGAGGTCCTGTCTGCCTGTTCAGGTGGACGTTAAAGATCCCACTTCATTATTTGAAAAGAGAAGGGAGTTTCTCTTTCCTGGTGTCCTGGCCAGCAATCTCCCAGATAAAATCAGTCACTCATCTCACTGCTGTTTGCGGGATGTTGCTGTACACAAATTGGCTGCTGGGTTTGCCTTCAAATCACGCAGTCACTACACTTTACGGTAAAATCCTGTGAAGCACTTTGAGACATGTCGATGATGTGATAAGACGCCGTGTCAAACACCACAGACTAATTGTTATTACCTTCCTTAAGGTAACAGTCGATTGTGTGGTTTGCTAACGGTTAATGTAATAGCTTGTTTATTGCCCTCGTATTTCCACAGAGGCAGTGGAAGACTGCACGGTGACTGTGAAAGAGTATTTGAAAGACATGAGCCAACATTCCTACATTTGCCACGAGCACGACGAGATGCACCTGGAGGACATTTATGTGGACATCACATTGGTGGAGGGACAAGTGGAGACTAAATCAGGTCGGAAATCCAACAAGGGCTTGGACAAAGCCTGCAAGATCTACAACATTGACGAGGGAGAGCACGCAGCCATCAGCACCGACAATCTCTTTGACTTCTCCGAGAGAGAGCAGAGAGAGACCAAAGTGATTGCTCTGCTGGGCAGAGCGGGCATCGGCAAGAGCGTGCTTGTCCAGAGGGTCTGCCTTGACTGGGTGAACGGAAGCTTTGGGCAGTTTGAGTTCGTCTTCTGGTTTAAGTGCAGGACGCTGAACTTAGAGAAGCAGTACAAGCTGAGAGATTTACTCTTCGAGCCGTTCCTTCCCGCGCTGAGGGACACGGGCGAAGTGTTTCAGTACCTCTGCCATCACCCCGACAAGGTCCTGGTCATTGTGGACGATTTTGAGGATTTTCAGGACTGTGATGGGCTCCTGCAGCCCACGACCTGCCCGTCCAGGGAGAAGCCTCAGAGCGTCCGACAGCTCTTGGCTGGCCTCCTGCAGAAAAAGCTGTTGAGGGGATGCACGGTGCTCGTCACCGCCCGGCCCAGAGGGACATTCAACCAGTACTTGACCAGAGTGGACAAGGTGGTCGAGGTGATGGGATTCAGTCCACAACACAGAGAGGAATTTGTACGGAAATACTTTGAAGACTCGTCGCTGGCCGTGAAGGTGTCTGAGTGCCTCCAGCAGCATCGCTTCATGCTCAGCTTCTGTTTCATCCCCTTGTTCTGCAGGTTTCTCTGCTTCATCCTCAAGGCCAAGCACCGGGCGGGTGACAAGTGCCTTACGTTGCCAGCCACTCTCACCAGCCTCTTTCAGAGCATCTTTCAGGTCTTACTACAGTCCGGTGCATATACCCGCTCTGGCACCCAGACCCCAGCTCTGTTGGCGAAGCACAAAGCCAACCTGTTGAGGCTGAGTACGTTGGCCTACAGCGGAGTCCAGAGTCACAGCAGCGTGTGTGCGGAGTCAGAGACCGCAGCTATGACCAACTTTGCCCTGAAACACGGTTTCCTCAGACCTTTCCTGATGAACGGCCAAGAGAGGGAGCAGGAATGTGGGAAAGCCTTTTCCCACTCGGCGCTGCAGAACTTCCTGGGAGCGATGTATCTGCTGTTCTCCGAGGACGTGAAGTGCAAAGGCCTGTTGAGGATTATCATGCTGGAGCAGAAGAAGAAGAGATCTCAGGAGGACTGGCTGGACATTGTGCGCAGGGCTTTGGTGGGGCTGGCGTTTCAGGAAGGGAGTGACTTTATTGACTGTTTCGTCAACAATCCCAAGAACAAAGTCAAGAGTAAGAAGCAAAAGTCTTTGCAGAGGTATCTGGGTGAGCTGGATACCAGTGCACTGAGCGGGGTCAGGCTGCTCGAGCTCTGCCATTGTGTGCACGAGACCCAGAACCCTGAACTGGCCACACGAGTCGCCTCCAAACTGAACGAGACCTTGTCCTTCCTCAGGACTCGGCTGACTCCGCCTGACATCTTCGTGCTGCTCCACCTGATGCAGAAGTCTCCCAGGAAGTTCTGCATTGACCTGAGGGAAACAGGCATCGACCTGCCGGGGATCAGGCAGTTTGTGGAACTCAAGAATGTCACGTCGTTTAGGTACGTTTACAGATGTTTTAACGCTTTACAGAATGAGTTCAATTGGAATATAAGTACATATTAACAATAATAATCCTTGCATTTGATATAGCGCCTTATCACATCTTCGAGACGTCTCAAGGCGCTTCACAGAATGTACTGTAAAGTGAATTGACTGTATATTTTGTGGGCAGTTCGGGCCATATGTGCTTGCGACTGCCAGGAAACTAGAGTGAACTGGATGGATCTTGGACTTTTTTTTGTCTAGCATCTCTTATGTTCTTATGGAAGTCAAGTGAATTTGCTGAACAAACAAACTAAATTGGTTGTAAACTTTCCATAAATTGGGGCCAATGTTTGCCTGAGCACGATTGATGTACTAGGAATGGAATTTAATTTTGCAAATTGCCATATTATCTTTGATAGCCTCTAACATTAGATAATGTGGAGTCCTGTAGCTCAGTGGTTAGAGCACTCGCTTTGCAAGTGAGAGACCTGAGTTCAATTCCAGGCAGAGGGCGAAACCTTGGGCAAGTTTCCTTACTCCACACAGAGCCTAATAATAATCCCTCCAAAACAAAACAATAATAAATTGGTCATTTTCAATCTACGACTGTTTGTGGGACATTGCTGTGCGCAATTGGCTGCCGCGTTCGCCCACAAATATATAGTCAATTCACTTTACAGTGTGTTCTGTGAAGCGCTTTGGGACGTCCTCCCGACGTGAAAAGCGCTATATCAAATGCAAGGATTATTATATTATTATTATAAGGGGCTTAGCATTGCAGAGCAGGGTGGTCCTAGCTGGACAAGCAGTGGGAAAGTTTGCCAGACAGTGCTCACAATGTTAAGCTGTACGGTTGTAGCTGGTTAGACTCCAGCAGTTACTCCATAGCTCATGCATACAAGCCTTGACTTTGGGGAACCTGCGCCTAATACTCTGGAATTAGGTAAACGGGTTGTGTCCCTCCAGCGAGAGAGTGGGCATTCCAGACATTCCCATGTTTAGGTGGCAGAGTCCTGTAGCTTAGAGCACTGCCTCGCAAGCGAGAGACCTGGGTTCCATTCCTGGGCAGGGCGAAACGTTGGGCAAGTTTCCTTATTCCACATGCCTCTGTTTACCTGGAAACAAGTATCAACCTGGTTGTTAGTCGATTGGCCGATTGCTTTTCTGGAGGTAATAATTCCTTCAAAACCAATACTCAGAATAATAATAATAAATTGGTTACTCAATCCACGACTGTTTGTGGGACGCTGCTGTGCGCAATTGGCTGCCGCGCTGCCAAAATATACAGTCAATTCACTTTGTTGTATATTCTGTGAAGCGCTTTGTGACGGCTCGAAGACATGATGAGGCGCTATATCTAATGCAAGGATTATTATTATTATTACCGTCTGGTTTGGATACCCTGAGCATGGTGATGGGTTTCCGTGTCAGATCCCAGCTGATCAAGCGGCCTATTTTCTTGGGTAGAACTTGGTAAGTGGATTTTCCTTTTCACATGAGGTCTTAGTGTTTTCCCTCTTTCACAGAGTGTCAGTAACGGATGCGGTGAAGCTGTGGGAACATTTGGAGCAGACTGGAGAAGAGGAGCTGCTGCACACCTCTCTGCTTAAGTTTTCTGTCAACCCTTTTGAGGTCAACAGTTTGAAGGATATCGATGACCTTGATTTACTGGTACAGCTTCACAAAGGCAGAAGATTCCTTTCATGGTTAGTCTCTCTCTTTTCTTGCTCCTTCTCTCTCTCTCTATCTCTCTCTCTTCCTCCTTTTCTCTCTCTCGCCCTCCTTCCTTGTCTCTCACGGCTCGAGCTCATGTTACGCTCTTTCTTGTGAGGTCCGGGAGCATAATGGTTAGCGAGCTCGCCATGCAAACGAGAGGACCTGGGTTCAATTCCCGGGTGGGTTGAAATCTTAGGCAAGTTTCCTTAGTCCATATGCCTCTGTTTACTTCGTAGTAACTAGGAACCAGGTTGTTAGGTAATTGGAGGATCGCTTTCCAGGGGGAAAAATCGCTTAAAAAATACAGTCAATCCACTTTACAATACATTCTGTGAATCGCTTTGATACGTCTCAACAACGTGATAAGCCTCTGTATCAAATGCAAGGATTATTATAAAGCGCTCCGAGACACTGCCCCGTGTGAAGGGCACTATATAAATGCAAGTCGTCATTGTTTGGTTATATTCTCTCCCTCCCTCTCGCTCTCCCTCTCTGCGTTTCCCCATTTCTCTGTCGTTCTGTCCTCTCCCGAGTCCTCTCTCTGTCCTTTCACTAAGCAGTGGGTTTCGGTTCAGCCGGGGACGGCAGCTGGGGTGGGAGTGAGAGGAAAGAGCTCCGAACACTTTCCAACTGAGCCAATATTGTGCCGGTGAATGTCCCAGCTGGCAAGCGGCAAGTCCAAGTCCAGTGGGGAGGAGGCTTTGGAGTGAATAGTTCCAAAATGGAAAATAAGTGTAACGAAACCTTTTGATAGACTCACAAAGTGCCAGCAACATAATACCGCAGTGTGTGTGATCTTGCTCAGTGTTGAGAGCGAGTCACTGGGTGGAAGATGCATTCAGCTGTCGCAGGTTATGTGCTAATTAATAAACAGTTTCATGTCAGACTGAACTGCCTACATCAGGAGAAAAGCAAATATCTCTTTAAAAGGGACCAACATGTAAGACAAGGAGCTGAAACAGTGCAGCTTATTTCACCTGGTTTCTTTTTTTTAAATCTTTTTTTCCGGGTTTATTAATAATAATAATAATCCTTGCATTAGATATAGCGCCTCATCACGTCTTCGAGACGTCTCAAAGCGCTTCACAGGATACACCGCAAAGTGAATTGACTGTGTATTTTGTATATTTTAGCGCGAAAAACGCCTGTGGGAGCGAACTCCACGAGCTCCCGGCTGTCAGCTCCCTCCAGACCCTGGAATTTGCGTAAGTAGCCATTCGTGGATACACCCTGCTTACCCAATTTTAGATAGTATCAGGTGTAGGTTGGAGAGAGCCAAGGCTTGGGGACCCAGAGTTTGCGTTGGGATAACTGCTGGAGTCTAGCACATCCATAACCTCATAGTTTGCCATTGAGAGCACTGTCTGGCAAGCACTGCTTGCCCAGATAGGACCACCCTACCCATTAGGGCTTTGGATTCCCTGACGCCCCAGTGACTGACCTGCCCTTTCAAGTCCTGAGCTGTGCTGTCGACAGCAGTGCCCTGGAATACTGCAGACCTACCTGGCTCAGAAACCGGACTGGAGACTGCCGAGAATGTTGACTCGATTCCAGCATGTCACCTTGGAGCCAGATCAGCTGGTTTTGATGGAGGTCTATCTTCAGTGTAGTGGTAGCTTGTGAAGTGCCAGGCATCTTGACGGTGACGTAGCTAATAATTCTTTTATCCCTTTAGGAAAAGGTAACACTGAGGTAAGGGACTATCTAAAACATAAGCCATGTTTAAATCTTGCAGACTTGGGCCTGTGATCGGACCTCAGGGATTTCAGAAGCTGGCAAAGATCCTCCCAGCATTGCAGTCCTTAAAGTCCCTGGAGTAAGTGAAGCTTCTGTGTTGCTCATTGTACCTGCCACAGGCCGAACGAACAGTGTTCCCAGACTCTGGAACTCCCTGCCTCAATTCCCTCTATCTTGCCCCCCCCGCCCACCCCTCTTTGCCTATCTTCAGATTGTAGCTGAAGACCTACCTTCTCGACAGTGAATACGGTCACCTCCACTTTCTCTCCAGTTCGGTGTCAGGCTCCGCCACTGTTAAGCGCTCCGAGACACTGCCCCGCTTGGAGGGTATGGTGTGAATTCAGGCCGTGGTCGTTCTGTGCCATAAACTACCTCCATCTTCAACTGCACCTCTCTAGTCTCTCCACCTTCCCCCCGTCTCACTTGCCCAGCATCTCCAACCCCAGAGGTGCTCTCCTACGTAAATGCAAGTTGCTATTCTGTGCTTCTATTTTCATCTCAAAAAAGAAATGCTGCATTTAAATCCTGTGCTGACTGTCAAGTGAATGTACCTGGGTGGCCAACGGCAGAGATAAAGGTGGTATGAATGGGGGGGAATTTGTGTGAATGGGAGAGGGGGGAATTTGTATCAAAATAGTGACAAAAAAAGGGAATGAGTAAGTGTTAAAGGGGATTCCTCACTAACCCCTCTAACAGCTGAAAGCAGCAGGTTAGTGCAAAAGGTGATGAGACAGCAGAGGTTCTGACAAAATATCTTCTCTGCAACAACCAGAGTCCCATAACACGGTGGTTAGAGCACTCGCCTCGCAACCAAAGGGACCCGGGTTCAATTAATGGGCAGCGTGAAACCTTAGGCAAGTTTCCTTCCTCCACACGCCACCGTTTACCTCGCAGTAAGTAGGAACCCGGTTGAGATTTGATTGGCGGAACGCTTTCCGGGGGTAATAATCCTCAATCCACGACTGTTTGTGGGACTCAGCTATATCACAATTGGCTGCCACATTTCACCCACAAAATACACAGTGAATTCACTTTACAATAGCGCTTTAGATGTCTCAACAACGTGATAAGGCGCTATATCACATGCGAGGTTTATTGTTATTGTTATTAATTATTATTATTAACCAGTTGTCAGAGGGATTTGTTTGCAATTTAGGTATTGTAACCTGGATTAGACCTCTGCATGCCAAGTCTTCGAAAGGCCAATTTGTAACTCACCTCTTCTGCTGTTCTCCTTTAGCCTTGAAGGACCGAGTGCACAAAAGATTAAACTGAGTGAAAATCAAATTGGAGACGAAGGCGCTGAGAGACTGGCGGAGGTGTTGTCTGAATTAACATCGCTGGAGAAGCTGACGTGAGTGTGTGTCCCTGCACTGGGTACTTGGGGAATCTTCTGACACTCGTCCTGTGTTGATAAGAATGGAAGATGTTTGTGTTACTTGCGAAGAGACGAATTGGTGTAATCTAGCCTTGATGTGATGAATGTGCAGATTAGGGTCTCGACAGTCCAAGGGGAGAGCTAGAAGCAGAGGTTTTGAGACATCTCGAAGACGTGATAAGGCGCAATATCAAATGCAAGCATTATTATTATATTATTATTAGTCTGCTGATCACCATAACTGGTTGTTTTCTTACTCTCCAGGTTATCACGGAACCAGATCACTGACCGCGGGGCACAGACTCTGGCCAGATCTCTGCCCAAACTGAAGTCCTTGAGGACATTGAGGTAAGCCTGGCACTGCTGCCCGGCAACTCTACATAGACCTTGTGACCGGTATAGCATGGCACACAGTGAGGTGCACCCCTGACTGGCCGGCCTCTGAGCAACAATCGTGGAGCGAGTGACCAACTTTATCCAGGGGATTGTTGGGCAGAACACCGGGAGAGAGAAACTCCTTTCTCTTTTCGAATAACGGCATAGGATCTTTAACGTCTGAACAGGCAGACGGGATCTCAATTCAGCGTATCATCCGAAGGACGGCACCTCCGACAATGCAGTGCTCCCCTGGCACTGCACTGGAGTGTCAGCTTAGACTATGTGATTCCAAGTCCCGATGTGGGGCTTGAACTCACAACCTTCTGTCGCAGGGCAGGAGTGCTATCGCTGAGCCAGGCTGACACACGTAAATTGTCATCACAGGAAGCCATATTAACTCTGACCTGACGACCCAGAGTTGCTGAAAGGCAGCCATTTTTATAACCTGACTCGTTATAACACAAGGCTGATTTTATGTATAATACTGTTACTGTTGCGAGTGTCATCTGCATCCAAGCTGTGACCCGCTCAGCTTTCCCCCACTGGTGAGGGAGCTATATAAATCCAAGTTTTTGTTGTTGTTGTACCATTGCCCCTCCATGGCCTCTATCCTCGCCCAGCTTCATTGGCTCCTCATCCCTTAGAGAATCAAGTTTAAGATCCTCATCCTCACCTTAAATCCCTCCAATGTCTTGGCCCTCTCTGCAACTTCTCAAATGTTTCCTCTGCTCAGTGGGCACCGGCCTGTTTCACGTCCTCCACCCTCCCCGCCCCACCATTGGTGGTCGAGCTTTCAACCCATTTGCCCCCAGCCTCTGGAACTCCATTCCCCCTCCGCCCCCCCATCTTGGGTGCAAACCCTGGATTGTTGAAGCATCTTGGTACATCCTCCTGACGTGAAAGGTGCTTTGTAAAGGTGAATGTGTTGCTGTTGTTGTTCGTTGTATAACTGAGACCCAATTGTTACAATAGACAATTGAATGTGAGCGTTTTATTCAGTTGGTGCACCACAGTCACCCATCGACAGGCAGCTCCTAATCCAGTCTCACTTTATTTCACAGTTTATACGATAACATTATAGGTGATAAAGGAGCAGAGAAACTGGCAGAAATCCTTCCAGCAATGACATCGCTGAAAGTGCTCGAGTAAGTGTAATTTAATAAACTTCCTCGCCTCCTTCAAGGCCCGTCTCAAAACCTTCCTCTTTGACGTGCCTTTGGCAACACTCACACCCCCATCCCCCTACCTGGACTTGAGGTATCGATCAGCCATGATCTTATAGAATGGCGGAACAGACTCGAGGGGCTGAATGGCCTACTCCTATTTCTACGTTTCTATGTTTCTACCCTCCACCCACTTGATTCTAACCCCCAGCCTGGGTGAAAACCCTTAACTGTCAGTGCCTTGGGACATCCTTTCCGACGTTATAAATGCAATTTGCTGTTGTTGTTAAAATATAGATTATAAAATATATAAAATACAGAATAATTCATCAGTTTTCATTTACCAAAGTGCCGGAAATCGCAGAAGCAAAAAGTGCAGAAGATTGCTTTATCCTTCTGCCTCTCCTCTATTCTTTCCTCTTTCTCTTTTTTGTGAAATTCTTTAAAGTTGTCTTTTTAAACTGAAAGGAACGTAACGGCAATTTCTGTGACTTGTGCAAATGGAATCCGCTGGGGTCTAGTGACTGACTTTTCACCTCTGTGAGCGGGTACTTCAGCATTCACAGTGAGCCGGTTGTTAGTTAATTGGCAGATCGCTTTCCGGGGGTAACAATCCCGCCCCCAAAATAATAATATCTGCGACTGTTTGTGGGACAGTGCTGTGCGCAATTGGCTGCTGCGTTTTGCCCACAAAATACACAGTCAATCCACTTTATAGTATATTCTATGAAGCACTTTGAGATGTCTCAACGACGTGATAAGGCGCTACATCAAATGCAAGGATTGGTATTAATATTAGTGCTCCATTTCTCTCCCCAGCGTTCAGTTCAACAACATCACTGATGTCGGAGCTCAGAGTCTAACACACAGTTTGAAGAACTGCCCGCACATGGAGAGCATCTGGTTAGTGACCCACATTGTCACCGCTCGTATGGGCGGGTTTAGCGGGATGGCTCGAGAGGTAGAATATTTAATCGGTGAAACACTGCGACCCAACATTGCTGTTAAGAGTTTAGAATCTCCACACCCAGCAATATATCGTAAATATTAAAAAAAAAGTTGCATCTGAGTCCGTGCTTTTCACGTCAGGAGGACGTACCAAACCGCTCCACAGGATTTTAGAATCATGGTAATTGATAGCGTAGAAGGAGGCCATTCAGCTCATCAAATCTGCAATAACTCTCATAGCTATCCGGACTTTTAATCCCACCTCCCTGCCCTATCATTATTTTATGTAAAGTGTAGTGACCGTATTTTGACGGCAAACACAGCAGACACTTTTCAAGTAGCCATGTTTCACAAACAGCCATGAAGTGAATGGCTAGTTTTTCCTGGGGGATTGTTGGCCTGGACACCAGGAGAGAGAAACTCCCTTCTCTTTTCCCCATAGTGCCATGAGAACCTTTAATATCCACCTGACCAGGCACAAGTGATTTAATGTCTCATCCGAAGGACGGCACCTCTGACAATGCAGTGCTCCCCCAGCACTGCAATAAAGCATCAGCCTGGACTGTGAGCTCACAATCCTGATGTGGGGCTTGAACACACAACCTTCTGACTCGAGGGTGAGTGTGCTACCACTGAGCCAGGCTAAACTAATAGACTGATTGTTGTATTCTTGTTTGTAGGTTGTGGAGTCCCACCATCCCCCACTGGGTGTCCGACCACCTGAAACAGATTGACGTTAGAATCAACTTGCAGTAGAAGAATCTCCTTTGGAAGGAAAATGGTTTTCATGGGGTCGCTGGGTTTTGTGACGATCCCCACAGTCGGGGGGCAGGGAGTCTGGGATGTGGATGACACTCGGGCTTCCATCAGCGCTCAGAACACTTGAGAGAGCTTGGCGGAAATCAGCAACTATCATTCATGTCTAATGTCATTGTGGCTGAGGTCTGAAGGCCCAAACTCCAATGGTGGAGCTGGCAGGGCGGGGGTCATGAAACAGGCCAGTGCTCGCCGAGCAGAGGGAGCAGACAGGCTGGGAAGGTGTTAGTAGGTCGCAGAGATAGGGAGGAGCAAGACCGTGGAGGGCTTTGAAAGTGAGGACAAGGATCTTAAATTGGATCCTCAGGGGAATGAATGTATGATATCTAATCAGAATAATATTCCTTGCACTTTAATACATCACCTGATCATGTCGTCAGAATCACTTCACAGGATTTACTGTAGTGTATTGACTGTTGTGTCAATAGGTGAATAGGGCAGACGGTTTTGTGCACAGCAAATGTCTCACAAACAACCATAAGAGTGAGTGACCAATTTTATCGGGGTGATTTGTTGGCCAGGACAGAGCAAGAAAGTCCAGTCTCTTTGCTGTTGCGTGGAGTCTTTAACATCCACCTGAACTGGCACAGGTGGGAGTGCCAATTACGTTTAATACATTTAGAGACTGAGTGTCACTCTCATTCACCACTGGGGCTTTGCACCAGCTTTAATATTACTGTATGTCCCCCCCCACCCATCAGAAAAACACACCAAAATAAACTGAGCAATTTGACCTTTTAAGCTTTAATATGTTCCTGGACTGTTCACTATGTGAGCAGTTTGCTGTAGATTAAAATATTAGACTCTGGTGTATATACGTTTGTGTAAATCTGAAGCTGAACATGAGTGGTTGCACTAAAATGAAAATAGTATTTTTATATTTAAATCTTGAAAGAATTGAGCATTTGACAAGGGGGGAACCCCTGAACCCTACATTGCACTGAACTTACACTGTATGTTTTTGCTGCTGTTTTGAATAAATTCTGAAATATGTTGCTATCAACTTGCGTTATTGTTGTGGTTTCTGTTGGAAATTTACAGCACAGGAGGATGCCATTCAGCCCATCAAGCCCCTCACCGTCTCTCAAAGCAGCTGCACTCTCAATTCCACTGCTCCGCCATCAAACACGTAGCACTCCAACTTCCATATTACCTGTCTATTTCCCTCTTGAAACCCCAGAGGGTGGTTTGCATCTCTGCATCTCAACTGCCCTGGGGTCTGGGGCCGGTGGATCTTGCGGCAATAATGGGAGATGGGGTAGTCAGTGTGGCTGCTGCTGGACACTCGGGCTTCCATCAGTGAGTCCGATGGAGCAGAGGGAGGCTGTGGGACGGTCAACAACAACAGCAATGACAACTTGCACTTATGTTGCGCCCTCCACGCAGGGCAGCATCTCAGAGGGTTTGGGGGGGGGGGGTAGGAGACGAGATGGACGGAGGGAGAGGAGGACAGAGCGGAAGTGATGTGGGGTAAGAGGACAGGAATGGGGGGTTTTGGGGTAAAGCAGCTCGGGTCGCGGGTGGCAGCCCTGACTGGAGGCAGAGCTACCAGCGGGGCATAGTCAACCCGCGGCATGGAGAGCACGGAAGAGTTGGAATGGGAAAATGAAGAACGAGATACAGCAGAGGATGACAGAGAGGATCGTGGTCGCCTGAACCGCCTCCAGATAGTCTGTCAGGAGCAACAAACATTCGAGAAGAGACACACTTGGCTCATCTGATCTGGAGAGTAATAGGCTCCGATTTTGGCAAGAGCCACATCTGGATGACCCTCAGAGTGCGTGTTCAAAGGACTGCTGGAGATTATCCAGGTAAAAATGGTCAACTTGTCATGAGTCTGGCAAGCTTTCTGCTGCTTCTCCGGCCGGGATCATTCTAGTTTTATATATAATAATAATAATAATCCTTGCATTTGATATAGCGCTTTCAAGGCTTCTCGACATCTCAAAGTGCTTCACAGAATATACTGTAAAGTGAATTAACTGTATATTTGTGGGCGAAACGCAGCAGCCAATTGCGCACAGCAGTGTCCTAGCGTCAAGGCTTTGGCTTGAAGATTAATGGGAAATAAATGAAGAGAATAGCAATTTTACACAGCAGAAGGCAGGTTGGGACGTGGGATGCCCCGCCAGGTACTTTCTATTTCCCCTCAGCTCAGCTGTGTCTGCCTTCCTGCACAGTGATATAACTGTTTCCTTTCCGGTTGCCTTTCCACGTGAACATTTTCTAGTTATTACTTAGATTATAGTGTAAGATTCGCTAGTTCCTTTCAGCACTAGTATTTGTCACTCTGCATCGCGTGTCCTCAAAGTATCCACGTATCAAGAGTCTGCAGTGAAACACGTAAATAATAAAGTATCGTTACATAGCTTCCTGTTTACCTCAAACTGCAGTAGATTTTGCTTAATCTAAGATATTCATTATAGCAAAATATATCCAAGCAATTGGAAGTTAAACTTGCAATTTAGGCTATATAAAAAAATAACATTCCTTGCATTTGATACACAGTATTGACTTCCTTGTTGAAAATACTTCACAGTAGTTTAGTATATTGTATAGTGACGGTGTCTTTGTAGGTGACCATCAATATGGTAAACTGTAAATATGGAGGAAATATAATATAATTATCATTGCATTTGATATAGCGCCTTATCACGATGCTGACATGTCTCAAAGGCTTCACAAAATATATCGTAAAATGGATTGACTGTGTACTTTGTGGGCGAAACGCCCCATACACATGGAATTTATTCATTGATTAAGAGGCGTCCGATGCAATTATTTATTTAACGATAATCATAATGGTCATGGAGAGAAAATGGTGTTGGAATTTCTATTCACTTGTCAGAACGTTTATGAGCTAGATTTTGCAGTTCCATAAAATACCTTAATTGTGCTCACTTGGATTATAAATTGCTCCCACTGTTTGGGTCTCGAAATGTTCTATCTTTGAGCATTCTTTAAGCCGGGAGCAGTAAAGGTTATTAAAGGTAAAATCCATTATCATCATTGCTTACAGTAAGAAGCTGCTCCATTTCTGAGTGAAAAGTGCTGTGTTTCAAAGTGATCAATAATCAAACTTGTGCACTCAGCTCTTTCACATGTCTAGGCTTGGCTGACCTGCCAAAGCAGTAAAAGGGAAGAGTGGTAATAACGGGAAAGGGAAATAAATCTCTGACTGAACAACTAGTAAAGTAACTGAGCTTCTGGACGTAGGTCATGAATATATTCAGAGGCCCTGGAGATTAATACGAGGCATCATCTCCCATAGGTCAGTCTATTCCCTGCTTTATATTTTGTCTTCAGCTGATGTTCATGGCGCCCTAGAAATTTACCTACACAACAAGGTCACCAGATCTATCATGTCTGGGCTGCTCTTTGAAATGGCAGTGAATTCAGTCCTATTGACCCACCTTTCCCCATACAGCTGCAACCAGTTAATCCAGAACTCTTCCGCCCGCACGCTCTCCGTATCACCATCACACCAGTCGTCGCCAGACTCCACTGGCTCCCTACAACAACAACTTGCATTTATATAGCGCCCCTCATGCAGGGTAGCTTCCCAGAGTGCTTACCCGATGGATCAATTTCAAGATCCTCAGATTCTTCTTCAAATCCCTTCATGCCCTGACACCTCCCTACCTCTCTGATCTTGTTACCCCCCCAATCCACTAATGGTTGCCTCTGCTCGACTGGCTCCGGTCTTCTGAATGTCTCTTCATTCCACCATCAGTGACTGCGCTTTCACCATCAATAAGCCACTAAGGAACACTCTCCCTTAATCCCTCTGCCTAGCTCCCTCCCCATCTTCAGGTTGCACCTGAAGACCTTTTCCTCTTCGACTGCGCCTACGTTCACCTTCCCCTAGCCCCCGGCTCTGCATCATGCTCCACTACCGTCAATCACTCTGGGATGCTGTTGCTACATGTCACTCCCCTTTAGATATCTATCTCCAGGGGAAAGAAATTACCCCCAAAAATATGAGAAATGAGAATTATACACACTCAGAACACTGCTAGCGATGGCAGTCTGATTTGATTTATGAGCAGAGACTGGAGGAGGTGGGCCTATTTTCATTGGAACAGAGAAGGTTGAAGGAGACCCGATTGACGTCTTTAAAATGATGCATGGAGGTTGCTATCGAAATGCAAGTTGCTGTTTTGTATCCTAGTTCCATCTTAAAAGCTTATGTCTGGTAGAGCATTTGCACGTCCTAACACCGTCTCGTCCGGTGTTCCTTAGAGCTCTGTCCTTGGTCCCCTCCTCTTCAATATCTATATGCTCCCTCTTGGTGACATTATCCTCAGACATGGGGTCAACTTCCACATGTATGAGTTGGATGACACCCAACTCTATCTCTCTGCCTCCACCCTTGACTCCAGGATCCGCTGCTTGCTGACAGAATGCCTGTCAGACAACAAGTCTTGGATGAGAGCAAACTTTCTTCAGTTGAATGACAACAAGACCGAGGCTCTACTGATTGGCTCCCATCAATGCCTCCTCAACTCAGGCGCTGACAGCATCATGATCCATGGTTGCCCACTCCATCTTGCTAAGCCAGTCCCAAACCTTGGGGTCTTGTTTGACCCTCAATTATCCTTTCTACCCCACATCTGCTCCATGACCCGCTCTGCCTTCCCCACCTCTGCAACATCGCCTGGCTCAGACACTGTTTCACGCTGCAGGCCCCTGAGACCCTCATACACGCCTTCATTACATCGAGGCTCATCTATGCAAACCCACTGCTTGTTGGCCTCCCCAACTCCTCCCTCCACAGGCTGCAGATCATCCAGAACTCTGCAGCCCGTGTCCTCTCCCACACCAGGCTCCATGAGCCTATCACCCCATCCTCGCCCGATTCCACTGGCTTCCCATCACTCAGAGGATACAGTTCAAGATCCTGGTCCTCACCTTCAAAGCCCTGCGTGGTCTTGCTCCCCCCTACCTCTGCGACCTCCTAAACCTCTACTACCATGTTCGCTCCCTCCGCTCAGCGGGCTCTGGCCTACTTCACGTCCCTCGCCTTGCACGCCCCGCTATCGGCGGGCGGGCCTTCCGCCACTCTGCACCACCCTCTGGAACTCCATCTCACGGTTCCTCCATCTCGCCCCCTCCCTCACCACCTTCAAGATCCACCTCAAGACCCTCCTCGTCAACCGTGCTTTTGGTCTCCCTGCTTGCCCACCCCCCCC